AAATTTGCAGATGCTCAGGTCCCTTTCATAAGATGGCATCATATTTGCATAGAACCTACGGGCATCTTCCCACTTACTTTAAGTCATCCACAGATCTGATACAAATAGCTGTTATACTGGATTATTTAGGGGATACAGACAAAAACACAGACTGTACATGTCCAGAATAGATACATTTTCCCCATCTGTGGTTGGATGAATACATGGATGTGGAACCTTTGGATCCCAAGGACAGAGTGTCTTTAAATTCACCAAACTTCGGCCTCCTTGTCGGTAAAGGAGGAAACACCATCCTCTGCCTCATTAAAGTACGGAGAAGATTCACAGGCACCACATCGCACAGTGCTTGGCACATATAAACACTCAGGAGTGGTCAGCTGTTAAATTGTCCTCCACAAAGAGCTGACAGCGATCACTTTCATAAATCACTCCATGATTACAACCACATTCACCGAGGAGCACTGTGGCCTCCAGGTCACGTCCTTCAAATGAGGCTCCTTCCCCATGTGTGCAGCCCCTGAGCTGAGCCCTCTCCTTATCTAATTAGTTGTCATGCTGGATGATCTCTGTCCATCAGCCTGGAGGACCTAAAGCCCAGGACTGACCACTGTGGCACAGAACAGGAGCTCAGAAGTGTTGGCTAGGCTGCATTAGCTTCGAATGCTCTGCTGGACTTCTCGGCTGGCTTTGAGTCAGGATTTTGAGTAACTGTTTGATCCACATCGCCTTTTATTAGGAGGTTTTATTAGGAGGACAAAGGATGAACAGGCCAAGTGTCCATGTGGGAGGTGGAACTCAACCTGTAAATTACTGGGGAATGGCACAGGGATGCTGGTCAGGGATCCTGAAACAGATTTCTGTGACAGCTACAGTGGGCATCCCTGGGGAACCACGCAGCAGATCCCGACTCTGGATACGGTAAGACACGGCCCCTTAATTCCCCAAAGCACCGAGAGGTAGTTAGGGAACAGAGAGCCAGCCGCGTGCAGAGGCTGTGTTCACCACGGCTGCTCCCGACACCGGGGCCATTTCACGGAACCCTTTCTGTGCCTCCGCCTCTGCTCCAGGGGACTCCGGGTATTGGGTCAGGCAAGGTGACAGAGGGAGACAGTGAGAAAGAGAAAGGGAACTCGACTAATGGGGCACTGCTGAGTTACTTTTCTCTTAAATATCTTTCTCTTCATCCTTTATAACACCCTGCCCTGATAGCACATTTCTGTCTCTCTCTGCTCTTAATGAAATGGGGCCGCACGGGTTGCAGGTAAATGACATCAGCCCCCAGGACAGCGGGGAACACAAACAGAGGCAGCTCTCGGGGGCTGAGGTCACGCGCACCGGGGATGATAGGGGATGATAAAAACCTCTTCTCCTGTTTACTATCGATTTGGAGTGTTCCCTCGGCTTCCCAAGGATCACCGGGGCTGCTGCTGATTCTTCATCAGGCGACTGGAATTGTTCTGGCGCTCTGCAATAAACCAGTAATCAGCGGAGAGAAAGGCGCCGCTCCTTCCTTTCTGGAGGAGCTCTTCCCCTCAAAACCAAATTTCTAAGCATCCTTCTCCCCGCCTTTCCTAACCCTCGCTCTAGGTTATCCATCTATTGCTAATTCTCGGCTCCTGCTCTGCGCGTCTCCGAAGTTCATTTCCTTCTCTGTGTGGGCTCCACTTCAGCAGACAGTCTCCTCACTGCCCAGATCACTGCCACTTCCTTCCTACCCCACACCGTTCTCAGACCTTTTCCTCAGCCGCTGATCTGCTGCAGGCACCAGCAAACTATTTATCCTTGTGCTCAAAGCTGTCAGGATCCGGAGCCCCGCGGGCCTTGTTCAGTGTGGCTCTGCTGTGGTGTGAACATGGCCCTAAATACCATGCATCGGAAATTTAACCTTCTCATCTAGTGGTAACGGTAGACGGAGAAGGGACCTTTGGGATGTGTCATGAGGGCCCCGTCTTCATGCATGGATTAATGAGTTTTCAAGGGAGTTCGGTACTCTGCCAGTGATGGTGTGGTGATGGAAAAAGATCTCACCAGATTCTGGGGCCACATTCTTAGTCTTCCCAGCCTCTGGGACCATGAATGAAATAGACCTCTATTCTTTTAAAATTACCCAGACTATGGGCAATACTTATAACAACAGAAAATGGATTGGCACACTGTACTGGTCAGTTCTGCACTGCTGGGTGCTGTGATGAGGGTTTACAAGTGGAAAGATTTAATGCTAGACGCATAATTTGTCGAATTATTTTATAATATTCACCCAAAGAGTCAAATACAAAAGCGTATGGGAGACTCATCCACACAGTAGAGACCAAAGAATCAAACTGAGGGCCTGATCCATGGTAATGTCTGGCGTGAATCCATCGGAAGACCTAGAGCACATGGCAATGTCCTCCACGAGTCCAGCTGGAGGGCCAGAGCCCATGACAATGTCTCCTGCAAGTCTGTACCAAGGATCTGCACTGGGAAGGCCCAGAGGTCAGCTGTGGAAGCTAGAAAGTCTGCACCAGCGGGATGAAGGGTCTGTGCCAGCAGGCTGAGGGATCTGCACCGGAGCCAGAAGTGACACTAACAGTAAAGACCAGAGCTTCCCCCCCCAAAAAACACAGCCATTCTCAGCAACAGCAAGGACCCAAACTCCCCCAGTCATGAGAGAGGCCGAGCTCATATAAAGAAAACCAGCATGACAAGCTTCTCCAGGAGAATCAACAGCACCCCACCTTCCCCTCCAGTTCACCTTTCATGCTGCTGGCAACCTCCTCAGGTGGGCCCTCCACACCCAGCACCACGCTGATTCAGTTCTGATGGGTGTTCCCAGGTGACCATTAGTTAACCCGCCACACTGGGACACAATACTTACAGCCATTATTTAAAGGAAGAGAGGCTTCATTTGGCTCGTGTTTCCAGAGGACACGGTCCATGGTAGCTGGCTCTAAGGCAGGAATATCATGGCAAAAGGGAGTGGTGGAGCAAAGTTCTCACTCCATGGCAGCCAAGAAGGGGTGGGGGGGCTTGAAATGAGCGTAGAGAGAAAGGGGCCGGGGACAGATACAGTACCCAGAGTCGTGCCTCACACAGAAACATCCAGAAGTCTGCTTCCCTAAACAGTTAGGCAGCTCCCAAGCCAATCAGGTTGACAGTCCAGCTTAACTGTCCCACACACACCCTCTCTCCCCACTCACCTGTCAGCCTGTCCGTATCTACCTGTGTATCTGTCTGACCCTCTCATGTCTCTCAATCACATGTGTCTATAATATCGTACATATTTAGACAAATCCATTGTTGTATCTCTCACATCTATCTGTCATGACTCTATCTCCCATACACTCTACTTGCGTTGGGACCACGTTCCCTCTGCCCCTGGATCCTTTCTGTTCATTCTTAAAGTCATGTCTGTTGTTTTCTACTTTTTGCAAAGTGTTCCTTAAATCAACCCACGCTTCATATCATGCCCAGCCCCTCTGGCTTTCACAATGCACATTTATGCTGTAAAGGCCCCTAGAAATCCCGTGGTCAAATGGGTTCTGTTCCCTCCATAGGAGCCCAGACCTCTCCATGCTCCCCGCTGACTGGTGAAATCCTTACTTGGCTGGGAGCCAGTCATCTGGCATGGCCCAGTCCTGGCCCACCCGAGGCTGGGGTCCACCCCAAGGAGGCTGAATGGCTGAGACCAGGCAGGGGCTTGCTTGTTCCGAGGAAAAGTAGGGTTCAGTTTGTAAGAGGAAGTGAACGCAGTTGTGGCCAGCAGTCCTTGAAGGGAGACTCATGCCCAGACTTCTCAAAGCAGCCTCGCTGAAAATTCCAGAACGTGTGAGGTCCGAGACCTTCCTTGTACGTGACCCTCATGATCTCCATCTTTTCATGTGCAGTGCTCAATTGCATTTTCAGTGACTCTGCTCTGAAAGCCTGTTCCCTCCCTCTAAGAATTACCTATTTCCACACGATAAATTACCCTAGAACTTAGTGGTTTAAAACAAAACTTACTATGCTCATGGATTTGGCGATTCAAGAACTCAGGAGCGGGTGACTCAGCAGCCAGAGGAGGAACGGGTAGCTGGCAGCTGGTACTCGGGTCAGGTAGAACCTCAGCTGCTGTTGACCAAAACTGTTGACCGTGGCTCCTTCCTGGGCGTGTCCTTTCCCAGAGCATGGCTGCCTCCGATGCCCTGGGGCTCAAGCACCAGCATCCCGGGAACATCAAGGAAGTCCCGCCCTGCCTATTGGTCCACCGAGTACTTGCACAGCAAGATACTGAATCTGGCCACCTATAATTTTAAAAGGTTTCTTTAACTCACAGCTTTGGAGACTGAAAGTTCCAGAACAAGGGGCTTCATCTCTTTAGACTCTGGCAATGTCTCCTTGGTTGCATCACAGCTTGCATGAGAAACAAAGAGGTAGAGTGACCTTTCGTATAACCAACCACCTGCTCTTGTGGCTAACTCACTCCACAAGACCAGCATTAGTCCCTTTGGGGACAGCACTCCTGAAGACCCAGCCGCCTCCCACAACTGCCCCTTCGAGGTTAAGGGTTCCACCAACTCCCAGCACCACTGCATTGGGGACCAAGCTTCCAGCACACGAGCACTTGGGGAAGCACTGAACTATGTCCAAACCACAGCACCTTTGTGATCTGCCCTCCAGTGTCACATGGTGTCATTACCGTAGTGCCTCAGCCCATCCGCTTCCATGAGGAAGAGGCAGAAGGCCGGCCTGTCTTTGTATCTGGAGGGAGTGTGGGAGTCCCGCTGTAAAGTGTAGGCCAGGAGGCATTACTGCGACCACCTCCGCACAGTAGAACGTACACAGTGTGCTGTGGGCCAGAGATGTGGTGTTTGGTTTCTGCATTTTTCCCTTTATTGTTTGGTTTTTGTTGTGTTGTTTTGCAGTAGTGAAACCGGGGTCTTTGTACTGAGCCACATTTCCAGCCCACCCGGTTTTCTGACATAGGGCTGAAGTCATGGTTATAGTCAGGGGTTGTGCAGAGAACAATTAGAATCAGGACATGGAGTTTATAATATTCTTTATGATGGTCACCCAGAGTTAACACAAGAAACTGCAGGAAATCTATCCACAACACCAGAGACATAGAATACTTAGCCAAGGGCCTGGATCCCACAACAATGTCCTGCATGAGTCCAGATAAAAACCCAGAGCTCATGACAATGCCTCCCACAAGTCCAACTGGAGGTCCAAAGCCCACAAAAAGGACTCACGCCAGTGTCTGTTATGGATCCATGCCGGGAAGACCCAAGGGTCAGTGGTAGAAGCCAGGAAGTCCATGCCAGCGGGGTAAAGGAGCTGTGCTGGTGGGATGAGGATTCTATGCTGAAGCCAAGACCACAACAAAGACCAGGGCTGTCCTTAAAGGCACCACAGCCATTCTCAGCCACTCGGAGGCCCTAAGCTCCTCTGACAACAAGCACAGTTGAGTACATGCCAGGAAACCAGTGTGACGAGTTCATCCTGGAGACCAAGTGTCACATGTCTTCCCTCCAGAGCCAGGAAGCAATGCTCGATGTGAGGACCAGAGTTTCTCCAGGAGAACCAACGGCTCAAACAGCCACTCATAGGAGAACCCACAATGCATAGCTTCTTCTCCAGTCTGTATTTATGCTGGCAACTTTCTTCAGGTGGGGCATCTACGCTCAGTGCCATGCTGATGTTATCCAGCTGGGGTTAAGTTGACCACCAGTTCCTAATCCATAACAGTCATTAAAGTTGCTGCGTTGCCCAGGCCAGGTGGGAACCTGTGGTCCTCCTGCCTCGGCATCCCAAGTGCTGGGATACAGACATTTGCCATCGTTCTGGCTTATTTCTGGAATCTGAAGGACAGCGGTTTCCTTGCTAGCACTACCTAAATCAAGCAAGCACTGCATTCTAGAACAATAATAATCTGTGCATTGTATATTAGTCTGCAGCAAAACCAAGTACGATTTTGTTAGGTTGTCTACTTAAAATGTTTCAGAAGTTCTCTGTGAATTTGCATGAGAGAAGTTTGTGCACAAGGTGAGAATAGTAAGCAGATGAACGCTTAAGCACCATAAATCATAGCTGGAAATGTTTTGTCTAGGGGAGCACTGGCCACCAGGAGCACTGCAAGCAGCTCTTCGGTATCTCCACTCTCTGGCTCCCCTCCAGATCTTCAGTCACCCTTGTCCTCATCCACAGCCCCTTTATCTCTTGTTTTTTTTTTTTTTTTTTTTTTTGCACTCTCTTATCCAGGTACATCTGCTTCTGTGTAGCTTCTCAAACTTGCTGCAAACATACTCTCCTCAGGACCTTTGCACATACTGCTGCCCCACCTACAAAGACAGTATTAATTCAGCTCTAGCTTAGATGGCACCTTCTTGGGAGGCTTTCCTTGACATAACTCTCTTTCTTGCCATCACAAAAGATGCCATTTTAGGGGGCTCTGTTTGATTACTTGCTTGCTTCTTCCACTCAACAATCAGGTCTGCAAAGACAGAGATAAAACTCCATCTCTACAAAGGCTGCATGGCACTGCACAGCACACAGGAAGTCCTCAAAGAATGTGCATCAGATTCTAGCTCTGTGCCACACACTGACCATGTCCTTGTCACTTTGGTACAGCCTGGTAATGCTTCCCACTGACAGCATCTGCCCGAGAACTTTCCAGGGCCACCGAGGCCTATTTTCCCTACTCTGCAAGCAGGACAAAATTTCCAGGAAATTTACATTCTTAGAAGTGGCCTGCAACCAGGGACTGGTGGGACCCAGGGTACAGATACCCGATTCCCCCACCCCTTCAGTGGGCTGAGTCAGGCTTGTGCACAGTGCTGAGCACCATCGTGTGACTCAGCACCCGCGGGGAGCTGACTCAGCAGCACGCCCCTCACTGCTGGCTCCTTCCCTGCTTTACCTCTTCATTCCCAGAAGTTGGTGCACTCCCTGCTCTGGAATCCCTGGCTCATCGGGCCCTGCTTCCCGAGCGCCAGCACCAGGGCCGACGCCTGCTTCTGAACCAGTGCCCCTCTGTCCTGCTCCCTGCCGCCCACTTCTGCCACCGCAGCTGGTGCCGAAGAGGGATTGCCAGCAGCCAGACACGCTGGGAGCCAGGGAGCGCGAGCACACAGCCGGGGATCGAGAGCCTTCCTTTTGCCCTCTCTTGACACTTGTAATTGAGAGACATGCAAAGGGCATTTGTTATTTTACTTAAAGGTGCACGGTTGCAAAGTGGCACGGAATGAGAGGCCTGAATCAGTAAATAACAGGGCACCTGTGGACGAATTAGCTCCAGCAATAGACAAAGAGTGGCCAGATGCATTGCCAGCCGGGTGATACTGTCACAGGCAGCTGAGCTAGAAGAAGTATTCTAGGAGTCAGGGCTGGGCTCTGGAAGGAGTCAGTGCAGAAGACCAGGTACCTTGCAACCTTGGAGGAGACCCACACCTCTGCTTCAGGCCAGACCTCAAGACAGAAGACGAAACTCATACAACCACACCTAAGGATAAAACATCAGGGGTTGATATGGTGCTAGGTGCGGATCACCTCAAGGAAGCCAGGAGTCACCATCCCAACCCTTACAGGAAGATCACTGCCCTTTAAGCATGTCCACTTGCCCCGTGACTCACAAGCCCCTATCTTCCTGATTTAATTAGTTTTACCTGAAAATTAATCTTCTTGGTTGACCACAGCTCTGTCCCACCTCGTGCCCACCTGCCTTGTGAGTTCCCCATTTCCCCCACCATGGACCTGCCTCACATCATGGTTTTGCTCTATGAAAAATCCCCGGAAAAGGCAGGGACCTCAGCCAGCCACTGGGGACCCCTTCGGTCTCTCTCAGACAGAAGCTTTCTTTCTCTCAATAAATATATTCTGCTCTTAACTTCCGTGGTTCCTAAAATTCATTCTTTGATTTTAGAGAACACAAACTCATACCGGACGTCTGACGGTCGTGGAGATCAGGGGTGGCCCAGGTGGTCACCCAAGGGGACAGGATACGAGCAGCGGAGGTAGCCATGAAACTCCATCTCTCCTCTACAAACTGTCTTTATGATCTGGAGGGGACTGCAGTTGATTACACAGGACCCTGGGGTCAGCGAGGGACTCTTTTTCATTATGTTCCCGCCTCGCTTCCTCCCTATGAATCTCCTGTCCCTTCCATTACAGTTCATTAAAACACATTTGCGGAGCTTGGGGAGAATATTGCAGGGGTCCCTCCAGGGGAGGAACAGCACAAAGGCAGGGGAAATGTGCAGAGCGATGTGGCCAGCGGCCCTCCAAGCTCAGAGCATCAGTGTCCCCAGCTGAGGTTCTCCTGGGCCCCACCCAGCCCCATCTCCAAGAGCAGAGGGAAAAGAAAAAACACCAGAGGGACCCCCCCCCCACTCTGCAAACGGGACATGCATAATCCTAGAAGGGGGAAAGAAATCTTTTAAGAAAACTAAAGCCCTGAGCAGCTTCGCGGCACTTACAGAGTGCACCTGCCCCAGCAGGGGTGCATTTTGGACTTTGTTTCTCTGTCCTTTCTCTCCCAAGGTCACCCGTGGAACCTGCTACTGAAAGGCAGTTGCTCCGGTGGCCTCCAGGGGGCGTGCTGCCGCCGCAGGCTCCCGGAAGGCGAGGGCGGGACCCAGGCCAAGGCTTGGGCCTGGTGTCCAGGGGCCAGCTGTAACCCGGCCAGCTCAGGCAGGAGCCGGAACCCAGTGATGTCACATCTTCTGACTTTTGCACCAGATGCTAGAAGGCATTGGCTTTTAAGACTTACAAACACAAGCAACCCAAAACCCTAGGATTAAAAAAGCAAACCAAACCAAACCAAACAAAAACAAAAACAAATCTTGGTCACCAGTTTGCAAGCTCTGGCCTATAGGATAAAGTCGTAGCCCTAGTGTGGCGTCCAAAGCCCTTCATGGTCTTCCTGCTCCTGTTTCTGTCCCAATCATCCTTTGTCCCCGATCTCAATCCACATCCTGAGGGGCTGCCGTGCAAATTAACAAAGAAGGTGGCAGACCTGGCTTAAAGCTTCAAACCCACAGCCCCTGTGTGGTTTTACTTAGCTCGCTGATTTGGGGTGGCTTTGGAGGGTGCTGGAGATTGGGGGTGGGGAGACAAAGCCCTTCCTAGGGACAGGGGCACTGTAGGAAAGAGAAAGAGGTGAAGGCTTCAGTGAGCTTTACTAAAAATTAATGGACAGCTCTGACCTCTGCAGCCAGGCTCGAGTAATTAGAGCAAAGGCAGCTCGATTCTGAGAAATTAGACACGTGCAGCCAAACTCAAGCAAAGGGAGACAAAGACCAAGAACTGCGGACAGGGAAGTTGCTGGTGGTGCGCTTACCCTAAAACTCCAAGCTTCATCTTCATTCTGTCCTGCAGCCCAAGGTCCAGAAGCCTCAGCCACCACCTTACCCCCACCAAAGGGCAGGGAAAGGTTACAGGACCGGAAGGAGTCCAAGGGTAGGATGAAAGACAATCAGATTCCAAGAGCCTTCCTGGCACAAAGGTCTCAATGAAAGGATCAGGGGAGAACCCTTTGCAATGCACCCCGTCTCCTGCCACCTCTGTTCTCCCCTCCGTTCCCCACCTTCAGGTAAACTGTCTTCTTTTAAACTGCTTATTTAGTTCTTTCACCAACACTGGGTTTAGGATCACCGGGACCTGCGTGGTCCAGCAGGGCAGCAGCTCGCGGTCCACCCCTGGACCTTACATCAAGCCCTAGCAGGACTACAGTACAACCTCGCCCGATGTCACCCTTCACCCTGGGTTTCCACCAGCAAGAACACTCTTCCACATGCGTGCTCCTGGGTGGAACTGTGCCTTTCCCCCAAATGCCTGGACATCGATCGCCTGGGGTCTTCCTCGTCCTCCAGAATGAGCCGCTCTGCCCCACTCCACACCCAAAACTTGCCTGCATTTTCTCTTTTCTTTTTATTGTGTGTGTGTGTGTGTGTGTGTGTGTGCATCAGCTAATTTGTTAAAACTTTAATTTAAAAACAAAAAGGCAGAATTTCAAAACAATATCATAGGAGATGGACACTAGTCAATATATTGCATATTGTTATCTTAGAAGTAGTTGCTCAGGTTACAAAATCCAGGCATGAAACACGATGCTCAGTCAGACAACGACAGCACAAACAGTTCTTTTTGATGAACTAACGGAGATCAGTAGTGCAGTTATCTACCTTGTGTATGTGTCTTTTCCCTTCTTTTTTTCTTCATTTTCCCTGTCCGTTTTGCATACCTAATGCCTGCACGCCATCTGCGGGGTTGGTGCCTGGACAGAACACCTTTCCTTCCCTGCCCTCCAGCCTTCGTCGCCTCTGAGCCCTTTCTCCTTCCTCCCTTCTTTTTGGTACATGTTTGCCTCACGTGAGGCTGATGTTCCTTGTGTGGAGCCAGGTCATCTTACATGGGGGTGTGTAAATAATGAACAAAATAAAAGACAGTGGGAAGTGGGCAGATCTTCTTCAAAGGGGATCAAGAGAGGGAAGACAGGGAGGGGAAGAGGGTGGAAGACGAGTTTTCTCTTCTCTGTGTGTCACTATGTGTGTGTCTGTCGTTGCTAATGAGCTGTGAGCTCTCCAAGTTTGAGGATGTGTCTTGGGTGTTTGTGTCCTCCGGGCCTGGCTCCTAGAGTCCTTGACTTCTGTATTTGGACACCTGGAACCATCTGCCACCCTTCGGTGAGCTCACCACACGTCTAACTGCGGGTTGACGGGAAACCACAAGGAGAACCGCGAGTTGGAGGCGCCAGGCTCCTACCTGGCTTCCTCCAGGCCTCCTGCCTCACCCTCCGGCGTAACCCAGGCTGCAGCTTCTGACTCCTCCTGAGCCTGGGAGGCTGTGCGAACCACCCACCTGCTGCCTCGGAGCCCTGCCAGAATCCCCAGCAAGTGGCTACCTGGCTTCTTCCGGAACCACAGGAGCTGCCTCTGAGCAAACATTCATGGCACGGGGGAGCAGGGCTGGGGAACAAAAGTATATTTTACCTGAAATGGATTTTATGGAGCCCTGGAGGAAATGCAGGGTGTGTGTGTGTGTGTGTGTGTGTGTGTGTGTGTGTGTGTGTGTGTGTCTTATCTGCGTCATTTTATTTCACACTGCTTGCTGAGACTGTTACTCTTCAGCCATCAGAACTCACATTTCACCCGGAGCAGGTGCCCGCTGTGGGTGGGGCGACCTTGAGTTTCTCCAGGCTTCCGTGTGGCAACTCAGGAGGGAGGGCGAGCCGTGCAATGAGCCGGAAGCAAGGATAGAAGGCAGGCGATGCCTTTTCCACCTCTAGTGCTGCAGTCCGGCCGCAGTCTGGTTAGGAGCTCAAGAGCCTGCAGCTCTAGGGTTTTGGAAGATGGCTCGGGGATTCCAGGTCCGGGCGGAGCTGCTTGCTGTGTTGAGAGTCTTGAAGACCATTGTCCTGGGCTGCACGGAAACGGAGCTGCTCCGGTGCCCAGAGGACGGGTGGCAGCTTTGAATGAATCTGGAAATGGCACCCTTGCCTTGACCTGGCAAAGCAAGGCTAAGAGGAGGTGGGGGAGGGGACAGCGGGGGGAAGGGGTGCTGCAGGAGCAGGAAGCTGTGTTGGTGTAGATGACTGCAGCTTGCAGACTGACTCTGGGAAATCTGTCACTAAAAATGAGTTGATTTCAGGCCAGGCGTGGTGGTGCACACTTGTAATCCCATCACTTAGAAGGCTGAGGTGGGAGGATCGCGACAAGTTCAAGGCCAACCTGGGCCACATACATAGTGAGTTCAAGGCCAGTTTGAACTACATAGCAAGACCTTGTCTCAAATAATTAAATAACTATATTTGTAAAAAATTAAATAAGTTAATTTCTACTATAAACTCAAAACCCATGCGGTCACCCAACACCTGGATTGTGCACCTGTAAGGGCAGGACAAAGATGCGGAGGAATTAAGTAGCTCTTAAGCACTGCACACTGCTGTGGTCTGGATGGGCTGTGCTCCCCACTGGTTCATGTGCTGGAAGCTTGGTTCCCAGAGTAGCTCAGCCAGAGCTTTGCCAAGAGGGAGATCGTTGGGTGCTCCAGGAGTGCAGTCATCTGATGACCCTGAATATGTATTTTTGGCACCAACTCACCTCCCCTTTTAGAAGGCAAAGCTTTCTATTTAAGAAGTGGTTGGAGGAGAGAGAAGTGTCTTGTCCTACAGAGAAATCCAGCAGCTGTTGCTCGTGTGAGTTGAGAGCTTGCTGCTGGCTTGCCGCCTCTGCTCCCGCCTGCCATGGACTGTTTCTCCTGTGCTGTGCCCTCTGCACACCACCCTGCCTGAGCCAGCTGACTGCGGACTGAAACCTCTACAAACCGTTAGCAAATAAACTTTCCTCCTTTGACTTTGGGTGCTGGGTATTTTGTCTCAGCAGTGAAAAAAGTAACTAAGACCATGACTTGATCTACAGAGCCGGTGCAATCTGTAGATCCCACCCGCATTTTTCTTTCTTGTGTACACTGACTTTTAAATTCATTTAGAACACCAAGGAACCAAGAATAGTCAGCACAATCTTGAAGAATGAAGTTAGAAGACAGAGGCTCCCAGTTTCAAAGTATGACACATTTGCATTAGTTAAGACGATGGGGAACTGGTGTAAGGAAAAACATATATTGGGGATACAGAAACAAAGATATGTATTGGTAATTGATTGGTTTTTTACAAAGGTTCAAGCCAGTTTAGTGGAGAAAGAATGGCTCCCCCAAAATAACTAGGTAATCATGTGTAAAACAATGATCTATTCTCACATCACGTACAAATTTAATCTGAAATGAGTCAGAGATTTAAGGGTAAGTGTAAGACTGATATTCCTAGAAGAAAACAGAAATAAACTCTTGTGTCTGTATTGGCGATGGTTTCCTAGACATGAGACCAAAAGCATTAGCAATGAAAGAAAGAACAAGTAAAGCAGGCTTCATCAAAATTTAAATTTTTATGTTGCAAAAGGAAATATCAAGATAGTGAAAACAAACCCATAAAGTGAGAAAATATTTTCAAAAAAGGAGCTAGTGGCCAAAGAACTCTTCCCAGCACTTGGGAGGCTGAGGCAGGAGGATAACCACAAGTTTGAGTTCAAGGCCAGCCTGGATTGCATAGTAAGACCCTGTCTTCAAAAAGAAAACCTAGTCAAATGAAACAAGAAAAAGAGAATTTGAATGTGTATCAAAGAATATATATACATGGCCAATATGCAACAGAAAAGACATTCTATGTCATCTGTCACTAGGAAAATGCAAATCAAAACACAGTAGGATGTTATTTCACATCTTCTGGGATGGATATAATAAAAAGATGGACAAATAAAAGTTAGAGAGGATTTGGAGAGCTTAGAACCCTCGTGCAGTGCTGGTGGAAATATATCATGGCATTTTCCTATGGGAAAGTGTTTGTCTATTATCCAATGAATTAAACTTGGAGTTAAACAGAAATTATACTCCTAGAGACACACCTAGGAAAACAGGAAATCTATATTTATATAATAGCTTGTGCACAAATGTCCAGCTAAGGGTTACTCACAATAGTTGAAACACAGAAGCAGCTCAAATAGTCATAAAGAGACGAATGAAATGTAATAGATCCATACAGTGA